AAAAAAAATGACAAGTGGATATAATACAATACAAGTATCCAAATATATAAGTATTTCACTATATTAAAAAATGAAAATCAGACAATCCTCAAACTCTTTTTGCTCACGTTCTTCATGTAATACATATGAATACAACTAATGAACTCATCAACCTTTCAACAAGATGTATACAAATACAAATTTCATATAAACGAGAAAAAAATGCAAATAGAGGATATTTGAAGATATGTCACGAAAATTGCTCATGAAAATCAAGTAAAGAATTGTGAATTGGAAGAAAATTGGAGAAAAAATTGGTGATAGTGAAAGAGAAATAGCAAAGAGGGTAAACATGGGAGTAAAGCATCGTAAAGCATGTTTGACTGGTATTAATTAGGCATGTAAAATTATCTTTGCTATTTAATGAATATTTATATCCATATATAATCTTTTTTTAAATAAAAAAAAAATAGATTATGAGTGTAATATTAACTTTGCTATTTAACATTTAATTATATCCATAAAACATAAAAAGAATGAACTATAGCCATTTACCTTAAATATATATTAATGTTTGCTATATTCTGTAGTTTTTCCTTATTAAAAATTCAAAAAGGTTCATGATGCTCCTAGAAAGCTCACTCTCAACTTGGGATGGAAAGTATATTTTGCTATGAGACATGTGAGAGTATGAATATATATTGATCTATACAGATTCAGTGGTATATTCAATAGTGTCGTATCACTCAAATAATTCTCGATTAGTTGAAAAATTCAAAACTCTACTAAAAAAATATATTTTTTCAACATATAATTACTATCTTTTGAATAGTAAATAAATTGAAGACTTAAATATTTTTATGTGTCTTAGCTCTCTTTCACTACTCTAGTACCCTCAAAATGCAAATGCAATATAATATTTGTCAACTTGTCATCTTTTTCTCCTCTTCACAGCACAAGAAGAAAAGAGTTTTTTGGCCAAAAACATATTTAAGTTATACCTTAAACTTAAATTACATCCTTAAAATATATTTTTTGACAGAAAACATTCTCCAAGTATTTGAAAGTTAACAGTTTTCATCCTTCTGCTAGATATATTGTCTAAAAACTAAGGGATCCTACAAAAACATGTGCAGTTCACGTGACTATCAACAAAAAAATTCGGCATAATTTCATTACTTGTTATAAAAAACTTATGAAAAAAAAGAATATTATAATTTTTGGACACCAATACTTTCTGAAACAAAAAATGTTAGGAAGGTATGAGAATACATAATCTGCTCCTTTTTTCATTAAAAACAATAAAGTTAGAGCTTAATTATCTTCACCTTTTTCAAAGTCAAATTGTAGTTAGATCAATAGTTTTTTTAGGCAATCTGATATTGAGGTGATCAAATTTTGATTGTGTCTCGCATTTGAGTTTCATTCTCCATTATTGGAAGTCTCCAACAAACACCGCTTCTAGCAGATTCAATTGAGAAGAAACATATTTCAATTGATAATTTTTTAAAATATTAAATCACATGAAAAATAAATTAAAAAAATTGTCAAATTAAAAGATTTTGCAAAATGCTAAACTCAATTATCGAAAAAGTTCATGATAATATTTTTGGTGTATCTTAGAATAATAAATATGAATCGATAACTTGATTTTTATGGGATCTGATAGTTTTCTGATAAATTTCAACCAAAGGATTAAAATTGTTAATTTTTAAATATTTAAAGGATGTTCTCTGTCAAAAAAATATTTTAAAGATGTAGTTTAAGATTGAGATATAATTTAAAGATGATTTTGGCTAGAAACTTGAAAGAAAACATTTACATAAATGTAGTATTTAATTCATCTAGTAAATGAGGTTGTAGTGGATATGAGGTAGATCATGTAGTGATTACAATATTTAAGCTTTAGTGCAGTAATAAGTGATAAAATATGGCTTAATTACATAACTTACACCAAGAAATGGTGTCCACTTTTATCACTCACTCATGCAAATTAATATTATCATTTTAATATTAAATACATTTTGCTCCAACAAAAAATATATAAATCTCTTGTTTTTAATTTTAATTTTCCTTAGATGGGAATTTTATCAATATTAAAAAAACAGCTTGTACTTTGTACATGTATTCATTTTAAAAAAAATTTAAGTGTCAAAATGTGGAAATAAGAGAAAATAGTCATGCCCCTCAATCTATTATCAAATTCTTCACTATACATTTATATTTCACGGAGTCCTATTACCCTTGAATTGTTTTAAAAGAAATTTGTTTTAAGTTTTTTTATTATTAATTTAACTTACTTTTATAAATATTTTAAATTACGAAAAAACTTGATTGAATCTCATAGTGTTAACCCTACAAAAAATTGGGATGGAGGGTTGTTCCTATTTTAGTTGTTTTTGTTAAAAATAGATAGTTTAAAATAGTTTTTATTTAAGAAATTAAAATATAATTCGTTTTTTATTTCTAAATTATAAATATGGGAAAAAGTATTAATGTGATGTATAAGAGAAGTAGTATTAAATAAAGAGACTAGTCAAATTATCTTCTACTTTATTAGTTACGTAAGAGCATTCAGTCGTGGCGTCAATGTTGAGCAAGTTCACCCGTCACCACCGTCAACGCCGTTAATTCTCGCCGGCACTCCATTCTCTAAACTCCGTCAACCCTCAATTCTTCCTCTCCAAAATCCTCATAAATCCTCTCTTCTCTCTCTACTCCATTGCATTTCATTCTCTTCAACATCTGATTTTTTCCGATCTCTCATCGAACTGTTGCGATGTCGGTGAGTAGAAGCTACATTTTGAGTATTCCAGTTGCGATTTTGTTTTTCAAGTTTTGAACGGAATTTTCTGCTGTATTCATCTGATTTGATAGCTTTGAATGTTGCTTCTATTGATTGCCTTTGTTGAAGTTCAGCTACGATTTTTTCTGTCTTCTTAAATCTTCGAGCTC